CTTGAGTACGTGCTCTGTAGACCCTTCCCCTGATCACCCCCCCGAGTTCTCCACGAGCTTCTCTGACATCCGGATCATGCCGGATTCCATGGCGGTGTCCTCCGATGATGCCATGGACTCCAACAACGAGGATCTGGAGAAGTCTGCTGGGAGTAAGCAGGGGGAGGAGAAGAGCTCCACCGAGAGACCGTTGAAGCGCGTTGGGGGTGATGAGAACGGGAACAGTGGTGTTAAAAAGATTAAGAGGAGGAATCAAGCCATCTATGCTGCAGAGGAGGAAGATAAAACAGATTAACACTTCCTGTGGTGGATAACTTAAGTTCTCTGCCAGCCTTTCTGTGGGAAGGTGGGGAGAACTGGTGGACTACTCGTGCTTTTAATGTTAACGTGATCTTATTCATTTACTTTCTTAAGCTCAAGGGGCTGGATGTACCTCTCACAGGGAAGATGATTTATCTGGGTTAAACATGGAAGTCAGAAGCAGACTTTTTCAACAAAGTACTTTGACAAAGGATTTAAAGCCTATCTATCAGTCAGTTTTGCTTCAGTCCCTGGTTATTGGTGTATGCTCCATGTGTTCAGCTGTACAGCTCTACAAGAGTCACTGTGCTTGTCTAACAAGAACTTAGAATGTAGCCCAGGCCCAAGTGAGAGGATGTCTGACTTACAAGACTGAATGATTTGATTTTATTGCTTTTGTCTTGTTTTATACTGAACTTTTAATACAAAGTGGCACACAAAATAACTCTATGAATAACATTTGGAAATAGAATTCCCAGGATAACAAAACAGCAATAGAAGAATGAAGATTTTTTTTTTTTCTGATCATAGTCATGCCACAGAAAAACTTCATGGTCATAAACAAAACTGTGTATTGTCCTGAATTGCTTTTAATTAGAGTTTTGGTAGGGCACCAAGTCTCTTGATTTGGAGGATGACGGTTTTATGGGGACCATGGCAAAGTGCATCTCTGTTCTTAGAACCTCATTTGTGTTCTGTTTCTTAAGACTTGAGAACAATGTCTTAAAACACAATTAGTTGGGAAGAACAGCTCCCTATTAAATGTGGGCATCACCACTGTCCTGGCTCTTACTGATTACTAATTAAGGCTGTGCTGTTCATACAAGGTGGTGGATGTTTTTAAGTTGCCTGAGGCAGTAACACCCACCGTGATCATCAGCCTCCCTTTTCACCTGTCACTTCTTTTCAGTAGCTGTAGCTTGCTGAACTCTTAGGGCTGGATTTGGAATCTTCCAAAGCACCTTCATAACCTCCAGCTGAGAATAGAGACCCTCTTGGAAGATTTCTTTCTGCTTTTTTTTTCCCTGAATTGTTAGCAATCAAATTACACTCCTTTGGCTTGAAAGGCTGTGAGGATAACAAAACTGCCTGAGTTCATGGCAGTGACAGTGTTTTCAAGCAGATGCCATTAGACTCCTTTCTGCCAGTGTCTTCTGGTGTTCTGGGCTGAGCTTTTGGAGTCCAGACTTCCCCACAACTGTGCTGCCCTTGGCAGCAGAAGTAGCTCCTGTGCTTTTCCCCCTCCAAGGCACAGGGAGAAGGAGAAAGTGTCCTGACAGGAAGAAGGAACTGGACAGGGAGCAGTGAGTGCAATGGATTGGTGAGTGTGAGTTCTGTAGCAGGGAAACACTTTGAGCTCAAGACTTCTGTCTTTAAAGCCACTTCCATGTCTGGGATCCACCTTGGTTCCTCTCCTGTCAGCAGTTCACTATGAAAACTAAAGGTGTGTAAGTATTCAAGGGCTAGAAAAGGGCAGAATTAAAGCTCCCTCAGTTCAGTTACCAGCTCCTCTGTCAGAACAGCCCCAAAGAGCTGTGCTGAGGGGTGAGGAGAACCTGTGAGTGTTTGGGGTGACCCTCAGGGTGTGTAAAGTAGCTCTGAACTGTCAGATAAGGTGCTGAAGGTAGTTGAGTCTCCTTAAGGGTCCTGGATCTGCAGTGCTGAAATCTGAATCGTGCCTCGTGATTTGAACACTATAATGGAATAAAGTATTTTAAGGATAAATTGTGTTCTGCACTCCAAAGCCTCCCAAGGACCCTGAGCGTGGTGTGGAGCTCTCAGGTTCTCTGCACTGAGTGGAATGTGTGTCTTACATGGAACAGACTTTTCAGTCTGATTTCTTATGCTTTTAAAGTTGTTCTGTTGTGTCTTGTCCCACATCCCCCCCTTCTGATAAATATGTTTAGGCTCTTTAGAAAGCAGGAGACTTGTACAAGGTACAGTACTGATTTTGATTTTTTTCAGTATTTTTTTATTAAGTATTTCAGCATCCATTGAGCAGAGTGCAGCTGGTAAATACAGTTACCATACATTTTTTGGAGTATGAATCATCTCTGATCTCTAGAGCTACCAGTTGTCCACACCCTCTTTGCAGTTTGCAGTGTCCTCCCCTACGTTGCTCTCATCCATTATGGATTTTCCCTGCTGGCAAGATCTTCTGCTGCATGAAGATTTCCATTGAAGCTCTGAGCTTTGTTCCAGTAAAGGCCAAATACTTCAAAAAGCATGTAAAACTCTAGGGAAGGCTGACAACTTGAAATTGGCTTTTAAGACCCAGAGCCTCTAGTCCTCTTTAGAAAGAAGCTTTAGAGTCTCTTTAAAAAGTTTTGACTTTTGAAATTTTGGCGAGAAACCTCTGTAAAGTGTTTCTCTGTCAGACCCTTGTACTGCAGATTTTTCGGTGTATGACTTTTGCACTTAGTTCAAAACTGTATGTGCTGTTATTAGTGCTTGAGAAAAATGTTCACCTGTTCCATTCCAGGCCAGCACACAGGTATTTTCAGAGCATGACACTGATCTACTCAGAGGAAAACAAAAAGAGAAATGGCCTTTTTTCACAAGTGGAGTATTTTTTTAAATTAAAGCTATTAAAGTCACCTTGTGGCTGCAGCCTGAAGTGTGTTTATTGAGTTCCCGTTATCCCCTGC